AAAAAAATAAAATATAACGTTTACATAGGCGTAGCCAGGATTTTATGAGGGGCGGTTCGTTTGAAGAAAAAGTGGACCTGTAGGACTACTCTGATTGGTTCATTGGCGGTGGTACACATAACTTCAAATGTGTAAACAAGCTAATTAGCTAGCTAGTTAAAACACTGCTGTGTGAGGTAAATCTGTGTTACCAAATAGGCGGTTGTGAGTGGAGAAAGAGCAACACACTGAGAGGGGAATAGCGTGTGTGTCCAGTCTTCTATTCAGAACTCATCCCAGACACGAACGAACACTTCGGTACTCCCGAGTCCCGCCCGAATATACACAAAAAAAAAAAAAAAAAAACACCGAAGAAGAATGAAAGACGTCATCCTCTTAAAGGCACAGTACCACTCCTTAACTCTAACAACATAAATGCAAACTAAGCCCGCAAATAACATTACTTCAATTGCAAAAATAACTCATCTTTTTACTTTGCTTTGTTAGACATTGTTTTTTATGAATGAAATTAATGAATTGAAAAATACAATACAATCCACATCTACACATAAAAAAATGACACTATAGAGTAAGATTAAAATTTCTCAAGACAAATGTAGTTTTGCAAAACCTTTTTTTTTTTACAATGCATAAGACAGTTTTGTCCAACATCTTATATCTCTGGATAGACAAGTGAGTCCAGCTCCATCCTCCTCGAGTGTTTGTTTGCAAACACATCAACAACTCTGTCAAGGTCAATGTGTTTGCTGTAGTGAATGTGAAGTAGTGCCAGTGATGAGAGACGCTCCTTCCCCATTGATGCCCGCATGTAGCTGTTCAGTCGACGAAGGGCACTGGCACTGCGCTCACACTCGCAGGAGGTGACAGGGAGTGTGCAGGCCAGTTGAAGTAGGACATGCAGGTTGGGGTACAGGTCTCGGTCACACTCTTTAATGGAACCTGCAGGGGTGTTCGGCCTCTGTGACCCAGGCACTCTGCCATACCTAGCAGAACAATTTAAACAAAAATGTTCTGTATAGCAATGTTGTAACATTCAATTTCTAAAATGGGCTTCTCAGGTGCTTAACTTCAAAATAACTTACTTCAACTTCCACCTTGTAATCTCTTGGTCAACAAGTTCTGGACTGGGTAGGTCTTCGGCATACATGCTCACAATCTCTGTGGTGTCGAGATGACGATTGCATATCACAGATGGCACTAGTCCCAACAAGGAGCTAGCTGTGGCAGACAGGGCTGAGTACAAGAAAGAAACTTTGTAAGAAACATACTTAAGTTTCAAGTTTTATATGTAATTTTTAACTTATCTGTAATTTTTTAAAATGTATTAAATTTTTATTTGTATGCTCTATGACCTCTGTAATATGTACACAATTGTTCAAAAGTTTTGGGTCAACCAATTAACATGTATTTTACCAAGAAAGCTCACACTTATGTAGTCAAATTAGTTTCAAAATGAAAAGAAAATATGTTCATCAAATTGATCAATTTGGACTGACTAACAGAAAATGCCACTGGAACACAGGAGTGATGGCTGGATAAAAAGAGAGTCAAGTGTGTATGCCTATATAATGTTTCTCCACCAGAGGGCGCACTGCAAAGGCTGAAAAAAAATCCTTGGGTCTTTGAAAAGTGGTGGTGGCTTCATACAAAATTAGTTTTTTTTATGCTTTTTAACATTAAAATGATATTATACATGAAAAATAAAGTTGATATTGCTTTAAAAACACCCATTTCCAGACATAACAGTCATTCACTGCATTGACTGTAGTTCTGATTACTTTTGTTATTTTAATTGCATAAAATTGTGATGTTTATTACAAAAATGTTTTGCCAGCAGATTCAGCATTACATGTATGCATATTGTCATTTATCCTAAGAAGATTATTACTACTATATTTCTTCAGCACTAGATGTTATTGATAAAAAAAAATATGTATGAAAACAAAAATGCTAATAGTCTGGGGAAAAACAAAAACGTTGTAAAACAACCTTCATAATATGTATATAAAATAAAAAGTCTCAAAAGTGCAAGTTGACTTAACAATTTTCCTTTTAAAAATAAATTTCTTAATTGGAGTTAGAGATCATGAGTGAGTGTATTTGGTTTAAAATGTTCAAACAACATGCAAACAGATGGCATATCCAGTTACAGAGTCAAGTAGTTAGATGTTTGTAAATCTTCACAAGAGTAAAATTCTTACAAGAAAATTGAGCTTCCAGGTTTGTTATGATGTGTTCAAGGAATGGAATGGCAAGGTTCAGCCTGTAGTGACTGAACACATCTTCAGATGGAATGTTGCTCCGGTGCTGCTGACGCTTTGTGATGCGGGGCTTGCATGGTGTCACACCCACTTTGTCAGCCATACGCACAGCTTGGTCATAGACCAGTTGGAATGACTCCCTGACATCTTCCCTCAGAGATGTGTACACACATTGGATCTCAGACACCTGTGACAAAAAAACAAAACAAAGAACAAACAAAAAAATATTAAATGACAAAGCAAAGAACTGGTTTTATTTTGATGTTTTATCCCTGTTTTATAGTGAAAATGCTAAAGAGTATTACCATTGTATGTGCATGTATGATGTCTGCTTGCACCTACCCATCAAGGTTGGTATCCAGCACAGAAACCTGAAAAACAGTTTTTCTGAATGTTTGTTCTTTTGAAAAATTATCCAAACATTTATTTTTCACCATATTCAACACTGCTAAGTTATTGTATACATGTATCCTGTCCAAACTAAGCCTGAGGCCTGTAGCTTTTGTTTAGAAAAAACATGGACGCTCCGTTTCAGGCTTCCTGTGATTAACTGTGTCCTATCACTGTAAACTTAGCTTTAGGGATAGAATGGGGGTGACACTGGTACCAATTTCAGATAAATTACTGTTCCCAACATGGCGGAAATAGACAAAAACAAGGAAAAAAAACATGGCGAAAATCGTCGTCACAAACTTAGCTTAGCTATAGCATGTTTTAGCATTATCCCATATCTTATAAAAACGTGACCCACTTCTAATCTCTCTAACATCAAACGGTACTACTTTAAATACACAAATGAACAGTTGAATCAAAAACCACAATGTAATTTTACCGTTTGAATCCACCGTGTTGCCTTCCAAGCCAGGACAGCGTGAACGTCGTCTTCACCTCGCAGTTCTATATCTCGCGGGAGTTGTAGGTGGGACTTCATTGGCAAAGTGGGCGGTTCGTTCGAACCCCCCGAACCCCCCCTGGCTACGCGCATGGTTTATATTCCAATGGCCAGAGAGGAGTGATTTGATTATATGCTATAACGGCCTGCCACACAGTAATTCTTTGGGTAAAAGTTCAGCAGCATGGGGCCCCGCCCACTCCCCGTGACGTCACGCCCAGTCCCCTGGCTGTGAATGGCTTCTTCTGTATCGCGCTGCAGGCACGTAGCACATGTCGGAGACGGAGCGGAGCTCTTCGAGTCGAACGGAACCGAACCCGAATAAGACAGATGAGGGGGAGTGGTTCTTCAATTC